ATATAAACAAGTTTGAAAGCATTCCTGCTGCTGCTTTGGCCCTATTTACCATCATATTCATCAGCAGAAAACAACTCTGCACTAGAAACCCGCAGCCCAGGTCCTGTGAAGTCCTGTAGTTCTTAGGAGACAGTGTCTTGATCATGTGAAATCATCTGAACAGCTCAGCCTGCGTGAGTTGCTTTTTGGCCTCTTCAGCCAGAGTTAGTGCAACTGCAACTGCTCCTTCCATTCATTAAGTTGGTCTCCTTTGCTTTGCTCGTTTGCTCCCTGCTGAGAGTAATTAGGTTTCTTATATAATAATAATTCCTTGTATTTAGTTGCAGCCTTTCTCAAAGGACCTTAAAGTGCCTCTCAGACATTAGTTCATCTGTTCTTCTAACACAACCGCTTCATGAGATAGGTGCTAATTATTCCCATTGTAAAGACCAAACAACTAAGTCTTCGCAGAAAGTGGTGCTTTCCCCCCAAGGTAACACAATGCCAGCTGAACAGGAGAGCCAGATTTTTAAGGTCACTCAGTTCCTTGATATTATACCCTGCATAGGTCTTAAGAGTCCCAGGGTGGTGATCCCTTTACAGATGGCACTTCTTGCCCATTTATGATCCTCATAGGCACCAGGCATTGCAGTGACCACTGCTTCACCAAACACCAAGCCGCCTTTTGCACTACGACCGGTTGAGAAAAGACAGAGCGGCATTTCACCCTTCATTTAGTGCAGAGTGTTACACTGTGCAGAACAAACAGCCCTGTCTAATGATCAAGAACCTGTAGAAAGTAAAAGTAGATGTAATTTAGACTGATTAGTATTATTTCAGTAGAATAACTGTCCAATTTGCTGTGTGCCATTTAGAGCACTAGAATGTGGCAAGCTGAATGGCATAAAGGTTTTCATTTTCAATATTCAGTTCAGATTAATCTGCATAGGACACCTCTCAAGTAGAATTGAGTCCCTGAGTCTCTTCCTATCCCCACCTCTGTCACAGCACTTGTCACACAGCATATGCTTGGGAATTGAAGGAAATAACTCTTCCCTCACTCACAAAAGGAAGAGTAATAATATATATCAACCTGAGAGTAGTAAATGTAACCCAAAAGTGATTATGCAGAGAAGGTAGACTTGCTCAATAAAAATTCTGAAAATTAAAAAATCAAGCAGGTGTGCTATTAAAACCTGGCTATCAGCAAAATAAAAAACCATTGGTTAGTCAGTCCCCAACACATTAAAGTCCCATCCGAAACAGCTCTTGAATTAAAGATGTTAATAAAATTGTCTTCTGCTAGTTTGCTGCTTGCTCTCCTGCCTTGATACGGTACTAGAATGCTGTAGTTTTTCCTTACCTCTTTTCTCACATTCTTATTTTTTTCTGTTTGAACTGAGATAGGTCCATTACACTAAAACCAGTTTTTTTTTTTCAAAAAGTAGAAAATGACTTTTGAACAAGTCAGTTCCTGTTTATAACTGATTAGAAATACTTGCTAAGAGTGATGAGTTGGATTAACTGGACTTTGCTGGGTAAACCTATTCTTAAGATGAATTATATGTTGTTCTGTGAGTCTACGGAAATAGAAATAACAAGTAGGTGTGCGAGCCTTCCGTGTGTAGGGTGTGACACGGAAAGAGGACTGTGACAGTGGGTCCCCAGATTTGCCTTTCCTGACTGGCTTGGCCGTCAGACTTGTGGCTTCTTTAGACTCCTTAACTTCTTCATCTTTACAATTTGAAATTAAGATTGATGGTGATGCAATAATATTTTATTGACGGGGTACCTGCAGAACCATCTGCTCTTCCTGTGTTCTGCATTTTCCTTGTTATCTAGTGTCGTCTGTTGAAAGTTCTTCACTGTAGTCTGCGGTCAAATTCCCAGTTGGCCCCTCTGAGTGCACCAAGCGTTCCTGGGCCTGTTAAACTGGTGTATTTGCATTTCCCTGCCAGGAGGTTGTGCTATAAACAATGGGGTTGAGACACCAGCAAGAGCCAGAGGATGAAATTTTATTTTAAAATCTGAAATGCTGTGTAAGCATTGAAGGTATAAATTGGTAATTGTTTCCCAACAGCTTCCATTAGATATGGTTTATTTGTCGTCCATCCTCTTTTCAAGGAGCCAGGAGTGTTAACACACTGACGCTTACTGCAGAGCATTTACATTTTTAAACCAGCATTGAAGGAAACTGACTATAACTTTTAAGGATTTTAAATATTGCAAGAGATTTCTATGCTTCTGTCCCTGGAGAAAGCAGTTTTAATATTTTGTTTGAGAATAAGAAAAGAAACCTTCCTTTACCTCGATTAAAGATCTGATTAATTCTGGAAACAGAGAAATACCTTTTTAAAAGAGAAAAGTCTGTTTCTAAGATTGAGAACTCTGTTTCCTCCCTAATGAATTCAGTAAAATGCACACTTTTAAAAATCATCTGTCTAATTTGAGATTCAAGATCATCAAATTCTGTCTAAATATTTTGTTTTAACTTCTAAGCTCATTATGGTTTCTTTGTGTTAACTTGTATTAAAATCTGTCAGCTATGACTGGTCTCATGAGCACAGTCAGCGGACCAGAATAAGTTAATTATTTACTTGTGTCACTAGTGCTCTTCATCTAATGAAATGCACAGCTGTGTTAGATCTGCGGTTCGATGTGTAGCTTCCATTGTTCCGCAAGTCAGCAGAGGGTAGAAGCCGCAATGATGGAGAGCCCTCAGTTCTTTCTGCTGTTCTGGCTTTCTGTGTCGATTTCATGGATCTTTTATCATTCACTTTCACACAAAACAAACAACACAGGGCTGTCTGCTATGGGAACCATCTTGGCATATAAAAGGGTTTTCAGAGCCTAACGTAATTTTAAGTTAGCTAAGATTTAATTTTTGGCTTGCAGGTACCCTTGATTCAGATACGGCCAAAGCAGCTCCTATAATGGAGTGAAAAAAAAAAATCCAGAAGTTACTTATGTGTATTTTTAAGTGCAGTGTCACAAAAGGGCTTATAAGAAAATAACTTCCCACAGAGGAAGCTCTATACTCCATCTAAGTCAGATTTCAAGCAAAGCTATTAGAGATTTGGATTTCAGGAAGGAGCGTTTATTTCATTTCAATGACAAAGTAAAGTTAAATTTGCTTGTGAACGTGTTAACTGAAACCAAAAATGCAAAATGCAAATCATCTCTGTCCTTACCCTCCCCCCAGTATAAGCATTCCCTGCTTCCTTGGACGGTTTCTGTATCGCCTGCCCTTCACTCCCACCTTCTCCTGTGGGGGGCAGACAGGCAGTGTCCTCCTGAGCAGACGCCAGCACCCCCTGCGAACCGCTGCTGATGGGGTTCTGAGGTCTGTCATCGGTCTTGTTCCTAAGGGGTAGAGCCAGACCCTCCGTCTCCTCGCCGGCCAGCATGGCATTCTCACCCCAGCGCGTCCCAAGACCAGCCTCTTCAGGAACTGCAGTTTTTGACATTTTGTTCACTGCTAAACAATGTTGTTGTCGGAGCACCTAGATTTACAATTTGATCTCTTTCAGACTAGATTTCCCAGTAGCCCTAGTGTTTTGTCAGATAATTTGAGTGTGGACAAGATGGATTTTTGGAGGAAAGAAAAAAAGGTCACACAACTCGGCTTGATTTAAATTCTAACACGTTTAGTTGAATTTGAAATAAAGTGAACTGAATGATTTTTCTGCATGTAGGAAGGCATACATTCTTTATAATTATATAATTTCAACCAAAAAGGCCGATTAAAATACCTACATGCTCTAGAATTCAGCACCACAAACCTAATTACCATTTTGTTGGCAGCCATTAGAACCAGAATATTAATAACCAATGTTAAATAGGCAAATGGCATTCTTTTTTATTTAGACTTTAGTTCTCAGTGATTATAACACATCACAAAAGTTTTATTTTAAAATAGTTTGAGTAATTATGCAGAGAAATCAACCTGAGGGATAAAAAATTTCTTTGAGAGAAGTTTTTCTTCAATAGGTGTAGATGGTTGGTAACTATATACAAGGGGAAAGAAATTCCTTACTTAAATATCACAGCATTTCCAATGCTATTACATTGGAACTAGTACACTAGTTTTCCAATTATAATTATGTAGATTATGGTTCAACAACCTAAATTATATCCCTATTCCTCCTACCAAGAAAAAAATCAGAGTAATTAAAAACTATTTAAGCAACAGAATCCCCTACAGGTTAGAATAATATTAAGGGAATAATAAAGGACAGTTAATTTAAGAGACTATCAGTAGTGTGTACAGAGTTGGTAGGGTTTTGTTTTGTTCTGTTTTCATTCTTAGAATTCCATTCTAATTCTAGCCTTTTCTTTCAAGAATAATTTGGCATTTAATTTTCTTGTTCAACTTTACAACTTCAATCAAAGATCACTTTTCTAATGTGTTGTAAGCTAAAGGAATTAAAATTCCTTAGGGCAGTGTAGGCTCAGCCGGAGCAGCCCTGGCAGAAATGAACCAAGCAGCCAGCCCTCCACAAGCAGCTCGCGGGTAGACATGTCAGCGCACCAGCCACACACAAGGACTTGTCACAGTTTTTAAAACCGCAGTGTAAACATAGCCTTTGTTCCGTCCGTTCTGTTGGGTGGGCAGAGCACTTGGATTCCTGATTTGGGTTTAGCATTAGCAGATCACGAAGTTTCTGATGAGGAGCTTGCTGTTGACTTGGGAGTTTCAGGGACATTGACAGGCCAGGGCCCGGTGAGGCTGCTGCTGTTCGGACTCGGTGGCCTTAGAGGCTGGCAGGCAGCCTGCAGCACCACTGCGTGTCATGCCAGCGGCCAGGCCTCAGGCTGTAGGGCCTTGCTGAAGGATAGCCGTTTTTGAACTGTTTGTCTAGCAAGATTATTGGAAATTGCTTTTGTTATTCTTGATAGAGACCATGGGGAAGTTTGAGAGCAGTGGAAACAGAGATAGCAGCAGGGAGATCCCAATTAAGTCCTGTATTCTTCCTTTCTGCTGGTTGGCTTTACCTGGTGTGAAATCTTCTCTCCCCCAGGTGTTTGTGGCTTGATTGTGCCTCAGGAAGACATGCCATTTTGTGATTCTGGCATCTGTCCGGACATCATAATGAACCCACATGGCTTCCCATCGCGAATGACGGTCAGTACATTTTCTGAGCCAGTGCTTTTAAGGGAGAAAACAGGTGGTTGATTTGTAGTGAGTGGAGGCACCGGGACCCTGAATCTGATTTTTTGAAAGGGTCCTTGGACCCCTTGCCAAATGTATCGGTTTCTAGCGGCTGACATTGTAAGGCTGCTCCCGTCTCAGAGGGAACATGTAGCAGGTCTGGCCTTCCCTTAGAGAGCAGTCTCCTGAGTGATGAGCTCCGCCCTCAGCAGAAAGGAACCCCTTTTACAGAAACTAATGCATCCCCCTTTCCGTGGTTATTGTTTTGTAATCCTGGCTCCACTGCTTATCAGTTGTAGAACTTGGGAAAGTTACTTAACCTCTCTGCCCTTCAGTTTCCTCATTTGTAAAGTGAGGGAAATAATGGCATCTATCTCATAAAGGATTGGGGAAGTGTAAGTTTCCATCACACACGTCAAGGTTTCCCAACAGCCTGTCACACAGTAAGAGCAGTAAACATTTGCCACTATTAATTTGTATTCTTACTAATGGTAGTAGTCTCGTAACTTTTGGGGGAAATAGGCCAGAGCTCAATAAGCACACATAATTCTTATTTCACAGGAAGGTGCTCACTTAATTTGTGCACATCCCACAGGTGGGAAAGTTAATTGAGCTGTTGGCTGGCAAAGCCGGTGTGCTAGATGGCAGATTCCACTATGGCACTGCGTTTGGAGGCAGTAAAGTGAAGGATGTGTGTGAAGACCTCGTTCGCCATGGTTATAACTACTTGGGGAAAGACTATGTTACATCTGGCATCACAGGGTGAGTGTGTTTTAGACATTTTGAAGAAAATGTATGATTTTATTAGGATAAGCAGTGATAGCCTTTAAGATACACAGCTTTCCTCCTTTAAGAAATCTGATACAAGAAGATCCAGATTTATGATGGGGGTGTTAGGTAAAGCTATGGTGGTAGTCCTTCTGCAGTATATAAGTTGTATGAAATCAACATGTTGTATACCTTAAACTTGCACAGTGTTATATGTCAATTATATCTCAATGAAACTAGGACTAAAAGGAAAGAAAATCCAAATTAGAAAACTGATAAATGAAGAGGTGCTATTTTACTGGGGAGGCTATCATGTAAAAAGTAGGAAAGATTTAATTCACCAGAATAGAATTTCTGCACAACTTTTAAGGAACATACCAATTGTATATAATGAAAAATCCTCTAACTGTTGAAGTCATCGCTGTGTTAATAGATGAATATCAGATAATTAGTGCTCTTAACAGATAGCCAGAGGCGTAACATTTGCACACTCATTCACTAAAGATGTGTTAAATACCTAACATGTGCTACTGTACCAAGTATATATCAGTAAACAAAATAGAGATGGTCCCTGACCTAGGGAGCCGACCATAAGATTTGTTACTAGACATTAAAAAATAAGACAGAGGTAACTTCTGTTGTCCATTACCAGAAGGGCCTACCCTGGCTACTTAATTTAAAGCTACAAACCCATTATTGCCCACTTCCTGCTTTATTTTTCTCTGAGCATTCATCATTTGTCAAATACACTATGTAATAATACTACATATGATAATATTTGTCTCCCCAACTGGAATGTAACCTCTGTGAGAGCAGGGCTTGTCCATTTTGTTTACTGTTTTAATTCCAGTACCTAGCACAGGGCCTGACACACAGCAGGTGCTCCATAAATATTTGTTGAATAAAAGAATGAAAACAAAAATACAAATAGCCCTCACCAAAACAAAGACAAAGAATAGGTTAGAAGACCCTGTGAAGAAGTGGATATTTCAGCAGAGTTTGGAAGAATGGAACGGACCATTTAAAGAGTGTCCCATGCAGAGGAAAAACATGTTTAATGCTGGGACAGGTCTTGGTACACAGGGACCTGGCAGAAGCCAGTTGGGCTGGAGGCAGTGAAGCGGCAGCCATCGCTGCCTGACGTGAGGGTGCAGGAGGGGAGGCGCATCCACACAGGCAGAACCTGGGTCTGCCTGTTCCCCTGGAGACACAGGTGTCCCTGAACCACTCATGAATGACAAGGTTTTGAAACTTGACTCACACATGGTTTAAAGGATCAAATCAGTTGCTCAAATTAAGACACACTTAATGTATTTTATGGCAGGTAAAACCTGGGACATAATGTTTATACTGTTTTTCTGAGGTTTTGAACTGCTTGAACAAGTGAAACTGAGCAGGGAAGCATGTGTGAGAACATGGAGCTTGATTTTAGTGCTATAGATAGACTATCCAGGTGTGATGAAAATGGTGAACACCTGTATCTGTTAAAAATATTGGGTACTTTCTAAAATCATCTATCCAAACAGTAATACGGATTTCCTTAAGTGTATCATATTTCAGAGATTATAGAAAATTACATTATAGGAAAAGAGTAATGGTCCATTTCAAAAAACACAATTGTTACTGCTAAATGGATCATCTTAAGTTTTTGCTCCTCATTCAGAAATAATGCAAAAATTGCCCAGAAAGTAAAACCAAGTAGTCAATTTGGTGGACTTTCTGAACATAATTTTACTGAAAGATTTGGGTGGTGCTTCCTATAGACAGCTGTAGGCTATGTGTCTACACAACCTTCCCCTACACCCCCCAGCTAGTGTTTTCATTTCTTTACCCTTTATCTCCATGGCAGTTTGAGAAACACTAGCTTGTCAGTTGAAAGTTCCACAAAGGGCTTGCAAACATATTCACCCACCAGATTTCATCCCTTGTCACATTCTTGAGCATAACTAGGAGGAAAAATTGTGTATGGCTTTATTTAACTGATAATGGAATGGCATTAGGTGACAAGAGGTCCATAAATTCTACCCTGAGCAACCATACTTTGGGGGAATAGAATCGCTCACCGTTTGAGCCGGGAAGAACCTTGGTCTGGCCGCCTTGTTATACAGCTAAGAAAACTGAGATGAAGAGGTCATGTAACCACCATGAGACAGAGCTGGGACAAGAGCAGAGTCTCCTGGCACACTGTCCGTTGTGTCTTCCACTCCGTGTCTTCCGAGAGTCTGGTTGTGTTTAGGCCAGTGGCGGGGCTTGATAGCTGCCAAAGCCTTTGCTGAAGATGCTGGAGGTGTTGTGAAGTGCACCAGGCAAGCAGGGGCCAAGGGCTCGGGCGGGCCCCTCGGCCATGTCCGCCGCTTCCTTTGCTCCTCCCACTCTCAGAACAGCCGCGGCCCGAATTTACTTGGTCCGTCACTAGCCAGCATGGCAGGGAGAGCGCTGGGTTTGCGGTACCGCTACCAGCTCCGGCCTAACCTCTCAGGCCTCTGTACCTATTTCTTCATGTTAAAAATAAGGGTGATGATAGCTCCTCCCAGGACTGTGGTATGGATTAAGTCACGGGTTAATGGCACATGGTAAACGATTCTTCTCTTTTGAGGAAGTCTGGGGTAGTTAAAAACATTTTTTAAGGCCATCAATCTCCTGGCTACTCTTGCTCCAGACAAAAGAAAAAAGTTTCTTCTGTCAAAGCGCTTATATATTCTCTCTCTTTTTAAGCTCATACTACATACAGTTTTTCCAAAGATTCACTGAGTCAGCTATGGAACAGACATTTATCGAGCAGCAGTTATATGCCAGGCGGGGTCAGTAGTACAAGTTCTTATCCTATGGAGTTTCCTTTGTGTAGGGAAGACAGGCAATAATCAGAGAAATAAATACCAAGGGGTGTTAAGTGCTCCGAAGAAAATAAAACCAAGGTAATAGTGGAGACAGTGCGGGCCACGGAAGTGCTGGGGTGGGAGGAGGACTCCTCTAGGTAAGGTGGTGAGGGAGAGTCTCTGAGGAGGTGGCATGTGTGACAGCCATGTGCATCCCTGGTGGAAGAATGTTGTAGGCAGAGGAAACAGTAAGTGCAAAGGCCCTGAAGCAGGCAGATGTGGTTCATTTGAGGAGCAGTGAAGAGGCCGCTGTTGTTAGAGCAGAATGAATGATGGGGAGAGGGAATAGGAAGAGTCAGAGATGAGCGCGAACCGGATCAGGGTGACCTTATGGCCATGGCACACGGTTTGGGGGATACAGATCCTGAGTGTGGTAGAAAGCCATTGGGAATTTAGAACAGAAGACTGACCTGCTGTGATTTACATTTCCAAAGACTCGCTCTGGCTTCTTACGTGAAGATCAGATTGTCGCGGGATAGGAGTGGAAGCGGGGGAACAACTAGAAGGTTATCTGCGGTAGTCCAGGCGGGAAAGGATGGCGCCTGGCTCGGGTGATAATAGTGAAGGAGGGGCCACCCAGGACACACCGCTTCACAACCTGTTTAAAGTTTTATTTCTTGTATCTTTTAATGTGTACATGGCATTTTTTTCAGATCTAGCCTTTGCCTTCAGTTCAGACTGAAAATCACCCTCTCCCACTCAGTCATAAGCCTGATCATGAACAAATAAGGACCTGCCAGTGAGGAATCCTAGAGAAGACTGTTTCTTGTTAGTCCATACTTCGTTTCTTAACCCAGACCTCTGACCTTTCTTTTCAGTGAGCCCTTGGAAGCATACATCTATTTTGGCCCCGTGTACTATCAGAAACTGAAACACATGGTGCTAGATAAGATGCATGCCCGGGCCCGGGGGCCACGAGCCGTCCTCACCAGGTAAGAGGAAAGCATTTACAAAAAGAAACTACAGTGCAGGCAAGTCTACCTTACATTTCCAAACGGAACGATAAGCAGACTGAACAAAATTTCTATTTCCCCAAGATAGCAAAATTTGGGGTACTAGTTATCAACAAAAATTATATATCTGATTAACATGGAAAAATAGCAACAAATTAAAAATCATTTCATAGGCACAAGAGCAAACCTGCCCTCGGTCTTGCTAACAGTCTCCTGACACAGTCATTGTACCAATTTGCAAATACGGTCCATTCAGAAAGGTTCCTGTATGAGAATGTAGACATACTTATGGGCCCCCCCCCCACACACACACACACCGGTATACCTGCATGCTCCCATGTGTGCACAGAAAACACATATGTACATAATTTGGTAGCCCAAGCCACAATTACCATTTTTTGGAACTTCTGTTATTGGAACATAGACACCTGTACTCTCATGCTTATTTAAATAAGCTCCAGGAGGCCAGGGCTCACATGAGCCCCATTCACCAGTGTGCCCTCAGTCCCAAGCACAACGTCTGTGTGTTGATGAATGGGTGTAATTCTTGGGAAAGGGAATTACAAATACTGAATTTCACATGTTCTGTGCCACATTTTCCAGTTGGAGAAATGTAGTCTAGAGCAGTGGTTCTCAACCAGGGGCAATTTTGCCTCCATAGGGACATTTGACAATGTCTGAAGATACTTTAGGATGTCTCAGCTGGGAGGTAGGGAGGGAGCTGCTGGCATCTAGTGGGTGGAGGCCAGGGATGCTACCAAACATGCTACAGTGCCCAGGACGCTCCCTCACCCCCTCAACTCCCCCCTCCCCGCCCTGTGCGCAGCACTAGGAAGCTCACAGGAGGAGGGAGCACCGCCCTTGAGCCAGGTGGACAAGGGTGCACGCTCACCAGCGCCCCCTGCCCCCCGTAGTGCTTCTCATGACCCTCGGACAGACCACTTGGCTTCTCTCAGATTTGTTTTTTCTCATATGTGGAGACAAACCCGCTTCACAACGTGGCAGTGAATGTCAGATGTTTGAATATAGGATGTATACAGCACCGGTCCATGAGATGACCACTTCCACTGGCACTGCTTGTATGCAACAGTCCAGGGGAGGGGGCGAGGGAAGAAGCAGGTGGTGTTTGGGTTGTTTCTTTTTAACCCAAGAAGAGGTATAGATGACTCCCTTGACCATTTAAAACGGAGCAGTCACACATGTCTGCTGAAATGATAGATACATATGTGCTTAAAACTGCAGAAGAGAGAAGAAGAGCTGAGATTCTTAGGACGGTAATAATCTCAGCAGTGAGACCCCGCTTGGGTCAGGTGTATCTCTCCCTGAATGCTGTCCCCTGCGGAACTTCCATTTCAGTCACGTCGGTCCAGAAACTATTTCAGAGTAACATAAATGTCAGAGCAGTTACTTCCTGCTTTTTGCTTTGTTGTGTAAGAAAAATTATTATTTTAGCATTACTTTTGTGTATTCCATATGAAGCCTGCCTGGAGTACATTTGTCTGTAGTCAGTTATCTTGGTTAAAATCCAGGTTTTGGCTTCTGCCCATGTGTGATCTGACCACTTCGCCTTGTCCAGTGACCTTCACTTCCCCCTCTACCCCTGGGTCAAGGGTTCTACCAGTGGAAAGGTAACAAGCATTCTACCAGTGGATAAAAACATAAATGCCGTGCCCAGGCAGGAAGTTTCCACTGTAGTGTGTTCGTTGAGATCTATTTGTAAAGTTTTCAAATCAAAAATCCATAGATTTTCTTTCAACAAATAATCTACAACATTTCAACAACCCCAAAAGGTAAAATTTCAGCATGTATTGGCATACGCTGTGTTTACCTTCTTAACTCTTTGGGGAACTGGCAGCAGCAACAAAAATGGAAAGATATAGTGAAGTAAAGCAAGAGGTTTATGCCCTGCCCTTGCTCAAGGTTCACTCCTGCCTCCAAGGAGCGTCACTCCAAAATCAGCCAGCCAGGAGCTCACTTTTTTCTTTTTCTTTTTTTTCAATAACAGTCATCATATACATTGGGGGGATGGGGGTGTCGCCTAAGTTGTTCCAGAATCCTCTAGTTTCACCAGTGTCTCTGGGTCTTGGATTCCTACCTTTTAATGCATTCTCTGGCCCAACAGCTACATAAGCTACAGTGAGTCCATCTGGGGGTAATTGCTCCCCAGTTCAAGTGCCCCCTCTAAGGAGGAATGGAGCATTTTCACACCTGAAAGAAGGGACACAGAACTTGCTCCTTCACTAGGAAACTGCCCATCTGGCTCTTGTCCTTCTAGATGATTCCTGATCTAGTCCAAATTTTATAAAAATTCATTTGCTTCTTTTCCTGTTCGTTTAATTTAGTTCTTAATGGTAAAGTTCCTCCCTGGCCCCCTGGCAATAACTACTGTGGGGCCTGGGTTTCTTCCACAGTCTTATAAGTTCTGTTTAGCTTTCCTGCTTTTAAATAACAGAGAACTGAGACATCTCTGACAATACTCAAGACACTCTTCTGTGATTTGAGGACTTAATGTATGTTATCCTAATAATAAGGATACTGATGGTAATAGTACTGCTAGCACTACTTTTGATATGATTATGTATCAATTTATTATTATGTCATGTAATATCAGATAATTGTTATTTCCATTTAATAATAGCAATAGTATTGCATCTCTTATGTATGGCTCTTTGGAATAGGGGTTCTTATATACATTGTACAAAGGAAGCTGAGAGGCTGAACAGAATGTCAAGGTCCCCATCACATAAGTGGTCTGAGTTCCGGTGAGCTCTGCTCTGAAGCCTTGTGTTCTTAGCGTGTGGTGCTGCCTCTTTGTTTAATATAATAATAACACATTTGTCTAACTTGTTTCAAAAGGCAACCCACTGAAGGTCGGTCTCGTGATGGTGGTTTGCGTCTTGGAGAAATGGAACGTGACTGTTTAATTGGTTATGGAGCCAGTATGCTTTTACTAGAGAGACTAATGATTTCAAGTGATGCCTTTGAGGTTGATGTCTGCGGGCAGTGCGGCCTTCTGGGGTATTCTGGCTGGTAAGTGGATAACATATGTCTCCCATCCCACACCCCTTGCCTATTAAATCGCAGCTCAAGAGTTGACCCTGGATCAGACCACATATTCTGCAGCCTTTCCCATCCATACATTCCTAGAATTGGGGATTCTATATGTACATGTTAATTTGTTACCTAACATTCTGTTTTCTACATTGCTGGAGTTTAAATTCCAAGTACAAATTTTATCTTATTTTTTCATACTTTTTATAACACTGTTGACCTGTAAAAATCCTAGCAGAGTCATTGTTAGAAATTAGAATTACAGCATACTGTAACTAGAAACATTTTAGAGAAGATTGTGTTAGATACTCTTGTTTAACCTCAAAAAACCAGGTATGTTGTCCCAGGTCTTGCAGCAGATTGGTGACAGAGCCAGGACCAGGACCTGGTACCCCAACCCGTTGACTGTATTCTCTGCATAGCAAGCTGCTTTACAGTTGGACTGCGGATTTTATGATGTCAGAGACCACATCTTTTTCATTCACTCAGCAGACACTTAGTAGAATCTGCTAAGTGCCAGACACTGTTGGAGGTCCCAGAAATACAGTGGTGAATAAGACAGATGAGTGGCTGCTCACAGAGAGCTTAACTTCTGGCTCATTCTAACAACATTCTCTCATTTACCCTTGCTTCTCCAGCTTGCCACCTGGTAGATACTTAATAAAAAATAATGACTAAATGTTACTGACCCTGCATATGGGGGATTCCCAGTAAGTAAATTATGTAGTTAATAAAGTTTATAATTTCTGTGCAGAGTTCAGTACACAAAGGCCGCCTTAAAGACGATGCTACATATTTTTTGTTTTTGTTTGTGTGGTTAGAGCACACACAAAATGTAGTGGTTGCACTCTGCCACCAGAGAACAACTGCTCTGCTCTGGGTTAGTCGTGATCTAGAGCCCCGAAATACGGCCGGAGGCAGGCGGGCTTGGAAGTCCCCAGCCTCTAGTCACTGTTTTTCTGGAGATGAACTTGCCAAGGCCTGAAGCACACCTGCAGGGCCAAGGAACAGCGCACACCCCCACCTCCTTGCACCTGCCCTCCTGGAGAGGGGACCTCCCAGCAAGGACAGAGTTAGGCCCATGGGAGCAGTCATTGCTGGGGTTAGAGGAATACATGGCCGCCTTTTCTCCACCAAGTTCCCCATCAAAGCCTCTTCCAGAAAGAGTCCCAGTGCCTCACCCATCCTAAGCTGTCCATTCAAGAGTCGGAATGAGTGGGCTTCTCAGAACGCAGTGTAGGCCTTGCTAGTTCAATTCCAAAAGTTTTTAGCTAAGTATTTTATGACTTTTGGTATGGATTTGATGAGACCTGGCTGTTAAGAAGTCATTTCTTTTTTACTTTATTTATTTATTTATTTTGGTATCATTAATGCACTTACATGAGCAACATTATGGCTACTAGACTCCCCCCATTGTCAAGGCCCTATCACATACGCCATTACAGTCACTGTCCATCAGCGTAGTAAGCTGCTATAGAATCACTACTTGTCTTCTCTGTGTTACTGCCTGCTCCATGTGTTCCCCCCCTGCCCTACATTATGTGTGCTAATCGTAATGCCCCTTTTTCCCCCTTCTCCCTCTCTTCCCACCCATCCTTCCCAGTCCCTTTCCCTTTGGTAACTGTTAGTCCATTCTTGGGTTCTGTGAGTCTGCTGCTGTTTTGTTCCTTCAGTTTTTTCTTTGTTCTTTTACTCCACAGATGAGTGAAATCGTTTGATACTTGTCTTTCTCCGCCTGGCTTATTTCACTGAGCATAATACCCTCTAGCTCCATCCACATTGTTGCAAATGGTAGGATTTGTTTTCTCCTTATGGCTGAATAATATTCCATTGTGTATATGTACCACATCTTCTTTATCCATTCATCTACTGATGGACATTTAGGTTCCTTCCATTCCTTGGCTATTGTACATAGTGCTGCGATAAACATAGGGGTGCATCTGTCTTTTTCAAACTGGGCTGCTGCATTCTTAGGATAAATTGCTTGGAATGGAATTCCTGGGTCAAATGGTATTTCTATTTTGAGTTTTTTGAGGAACCTCCATACTGCTTTCCACAATGGTTGAACTAATTTACATTCCTACCAGCAGTGTAGGAGGGTTCCCCTTTCTCTACATCCTCACCAACATTTGTTGTTGTTTGTCTTTTGGATGGTAGCCATCCTAACTGGTGTGAGGTGATATCTCATTGCAGTTTTAATTTGCATTTCTCTGATGAGTAGCAATGTGGAGCATCTTTTCATGTGTCTGTTGGCCATCTGAATTTCTTCTTCGGAGAAGTGTCTGTTCAGCTCCTCTGCCCATTTTTCCATTGGCTTATTTGCTTTTTGTTTGTTGAGGTGTGTGAGCTCTTTATATATTTTGGATGTTAACCCCTTATCAGATATGTCATTTATGAATATATTCTCCCATGTCTTTTTGTTCTACTGATGGTGTCCTTTGCTGTACAGAAGCTTTTTAGTTTGATATAATCCCACTTGTTCATTTTGCTTTTGTTTCCCTTGCCCGTGGAGATATGTTCATGAAGAAGTTGCTCATATTTATCTCCAAGAGATCTTTGCCTATGTTTTTTTCTAAGAGTTTTATGCTTTCAGGACTTACATTGAGGTCTTTGATATATTTTGAGTTTACTTTTGTGTATGGGATTAGACAGTAGTTCAGTTTCATTCTCTTACATGTAGCTGTCCAGTTTTGCCAACACCAGCTGTTGAAGAGGCCATCATTTTCACATTGTATGTCCATGGTTCCTTTATCATATATTAATTGACCATATATACTTGGGTTAATATCTGGACTCTCTATTCTGTTCCACTGGTCTATGGGTCTGTTCTTGATCATTTCATTTTAAAAACTAACGAGGTGGTCACTCGCAGTTCATTCCTTTGGTAAGGTTGCAGAGGTGGGGCGATGTTGGAAGTGTAAGCCTGTCTCTTACTTACATCAGCAACATGGGGAAGTTTGTTTCAATTCTGAGATGTCTGTTTATCTTTGGAAATGCGTAATGAGTTTGCTTTTTGTTGTCTTGACTGTGTATCTACAACAACAGCAAAAAGGTCTCACAGGAAGGTGCTAGAAACTTGTTCCACTGTGCTGAAATCTTCAAATTGGCACAAGGGTTTTTAAGTAATTTATTTTGAAAAAATGGTAGAAAAGTGTCATTTTATTTCAAATAGGGATAGTGAAACTCCAGAAAGTTTCCTTTTCTACCCTCCTTGTATTTCCTCCTGTGCCGCCTATAAGGAAGGGTTGTGGATGGGGAAAGAGAGAGAAAGCAAGCAAGCAGTAAGCCAGCTTTGCTCATGTGTTTTGAAACCCTTTTCCTCTTTCCTGAGTACTCAGGAAAACTAACATAAGCAGTAATTTATTTCAACATTATTCTGTTAAATTCATACCTTCTTTTCTGCTCCATTTCTGTCTCATTTAAAGATCATCTGAGGGCAGTGCCTGATTTCAAAGCTCATGTGTTCAGTGTATATTGTATCTGAAATCCTTTTGAAAGAGGACTAAGGTTACATGGCTGAGGGTCTTTACTGTAATTAAACAGACCTGGATAAACCATATGTCTAATTTGAGTGGCGTCCTTACAGTTGCCAACAGAAAAAAATCCTCGTCCAGTCTGCTAGTCTAGCAGCCTCCTTAGGTGCTGCTTTCTGGCAGAGGAGCATAATGACCGGTCTTCTTGCCATGCTCACCTGGTAGTGTGTGCTGGCGGTGCAGGAGGGCGCCTGGGCATTTGTTGGAGGAAGTCGCTCTTTAATGAACAACACAATGGAGGCTGAGTAATTAGAGCAGTTCGGAACCTTGAAACTGGCTTTTTGTCAGTGATTGCGCATTGGTAAGGCATTGCTATGGGGATGTTTACGGCAAGTCTGTTATTCTGCAGACAACGAGAAGGGCATAAGTCACAAAAGAGAGGCCCAGAAGGAAAACGGCAGAGAAAGGAAAATCCTTATTAAGATAATTAGCTCATAGAGGATATTATACTGGACAGTCATTTCTCATGTGAATCCAAAGCTTCCTTCTTTTGCTGCCTTTGCCCTAAAAATCAGTTTATTCTATTGTTGTTGGGTCAACTTTCTTCTTTGGAAATTCTGCAGACACAGAGTAAGGTAATTTTATTTACGTATGTGTGTGCATATGCATGTTCACCTATATATATGCATTGGAGTGTTTTAAATGATGGAGAGAGAGTTGATAATAGAGATTAGTGGACTGTCTGGATTATGAACCAGCACATATGGAAATTTTAAATAGATTAGTTTGGATTGAAGTCATAGGGCAGTGTATTAGGATCAGCAAGAACTTAACTCCAGTTAGATCCATTTCTCCAATTAAAACATGAACAGGATTCCTGAATAAATTAGATCAACCCAAGCACATTAAAAATATGTTTCTATTATTACTGTTGGTGGAATCAAGTACTCCACAGTATTTGTTCAGCCTCTCAAATACCTTAGTAGGACCCAAATGTGGGTCCATGATAGCCCATTCTTTTCCCATTCGCTTCTCAAGAAGTTCGTATCTATACCCACCAGCAAGTTCATATTCTCAGCTTTACGGCTTCTCTTTTATAAAATAATAAAAGTTGCATTTTGCTGATTGCAAAAAATGATCCCTGCCCTTTGTAAAATATTGAAAGTCACAAAATAGAAAACTTCTTGCTACGTATGATTTTGGGGGTCTCTGTACATTTACTGAAACACATCTGTGGATCCCTCTGGGACCGTGCTGTTTCACAGAGCTGCTTTTTTCTTTCCACAGTGTGTCCCGGACATCTTTACATTTCAGCAAGTAGGCATCCCTGCCAGCACATGTAATGGCTGCATAGTGTTCTTCTGTATAAATGTCCTGTAGTCACAGAGCCAGTAGCCTGTTGGGCATCGTGCAGCCTTCTGCTCTATGCTGTCACAAACAGTGTGACTATGAATGTTCTTGTGCAATATTTTTGCCATTTTGGGAGTTACTTAAATAGTATGTACATTTACATGTTTTACATGTATTACTTCACTACCCTCCAAAATGACCTTATGTACCCAGGTTCCTCGCTAGGGACCCTCCCCCCAGTTTCCAGTCAGCACTGAGTCTCCTCAGCATCAGTTGCTATCCCTCTTGCACTCATTTACCCCTCTTAACTGGGAGGACCTAATTTTCTACCTGTTTAAGTCTCATGATTTATACTGGCTACCTATTGTCCCAGCTGCCCTAGACCCTTGAGGTATAGGATGAGGTCTGATTTTGGTCTGAAACCTGAGAGAATATTTCCCTTTCTCCCCAGGATCATTTGTAGTCATTGGTTAAGACCTAGGTTCAGTTCACTGGCTCTTCCTGAATGAGGAGAAAAGAAAATCCTAATTGGAATAGCAGGCATGTTGGTTAGGAACATGAGCTGTTGTGAGAATTAAGTGGGGATATATGAACACATAGGTTCCTAAGTTTTGTACAAGGGACAGCACATTCTAGGTACAGTAGCTTCTAGTACTCATAAAAATAACCAAGCTTGAATGGCACTGGAAAAATAAGTAGCATTTGTTTGGACCAGTGCCTTTCTTTATGAAAATTTTATCTTTCCCATCACACTGCAAGTATCGTACTAACAGAGATAAAATTGTAATTGTTGAGCATTTTGCCTAGATTAGGATAATGTAGTAGATGCTTATCAAATACATGGAGATTGAGTTGGCTTTAAGCACTTTCAACAATGAAAAATTATAAATCTGAATAACATTCAGATGATTCAGATTTCTGGGGCTCATTCAAGGGTAAGTATGTAGGCAGATGTTTTGCATTTTAAGGAGAAAGGTCTAAAAGTGGGGTAGTAACTGATTAAAGCTGCTTGCTTTTAAAATTTGGGGAGTGATATTTGTTTTTTTCCTTTGGCTTCCTTGGTTGCTTTTTATTTGGAGGCACATACATGCACATTTGGTAGTGTGACTGGACACTGAGGAATAGAAACTCACTTGATAGAATGGCAGTAGGATTTTTTAGAGAAAATCCTCTCTTCCCCGTGCAGGCCACCCTTGGTGAGCTGCTATCCCTCTAACACACTGGCTTGGGTTTCAGGTGTCATTACTGCAAGTCATCCTGTCACGTGTCTTCCCTCCGCATTCCCTACGCCTGCAAGCTGCTCTTCCAGGAACTGCAGTCGATGAACATTATCCCCAGGTTAAAACTGTCCAAATACAATGAGTAAGGATGGAAGAGATGGTTCTTTAAAGAACAGTTGATTTGTCCAACACAGCTGAAAGCAGAGGGATTGAGGACACTTCTGCTCCTGTGAATAATTCTTTGAGTGGTCTCTCTCTCAAAAAAAAATTGATGGAGCAGCTTTTTACACAGTAGAAGACCGACTAAACCACCTTGCTCGGTGAGGCCTCAGACCCTGGGTGAGATGCCAACATGGATTGTGATGCAGTCTCTCCTTCGTATACTGACTGATTGACAAATGGACACTCCCTAAGAGATAAATAAACTCTTATTTATGTTCTGGTATCATGAAATTTACTCATTAGAAAGTCCTTCCTCCTTAAAAAGAATGTTTGGGATTAAATTAAGATCAGGATTCTTAGGAAACTCGAAGGCTATCAAGAATCTGTTAGAGTCGGTTGACTCAGCCCTTGTCGAGGTGGCTGACGTGAGCAGCGCGTGAAGGAAAGAGCACCGAGGGAGGCTGGAAGAGTGGCGGCCTTCTTCTCTGGTCTTCTGAGGGGGTTCTCCCAATGCTGAGTCTCACCTTTACACACCCAACCCTTTTCATTTTAATCTTGGTGAAATACAATAAATATATTCCTACCATCATAAGCAAGTTTTCTAAGGACATCACCATTTCTTACAGACTCAGTTACTACTGTTGTGAACCTCTGTGATCCTATTTGTTGAACCTCTGAACATAATTCCATGACTGCTTTGTAATTTTTCTGTCCCTTCCATTCCTGCCAGGATGTTAGCTTTCCATTTTCTTTTTAATCTGACAGCTTTCTTCACCCAAATCTAATTTGTTCTTAGTTGCTTGTCTCTGGGGGCAGATAAATACTTGTGTTAATGATGGATGATAAAATAAGTTAGAAAAACTTTGAGTAATTGTCTAAGGCTGCATTCCCAGCATGTCCCATTGAATATGTTCCACATGTTAGTAGGTATTACACACCGACAAGAATCAAGCTCCACTGTCAAATAAGGCTGAGAAACTGGGTATAACCAAGTTAAACATACAAAGGACTTTTTCCACAACCTTTACCAAGCTACTGTGTACTGGAACTCTCCAAAAGAGGAATGTTCCAGGAGCCAGGCTAGCCACTGAACTGAGAACCCAACCAGAACACCACTTCGTTTTCTTTACAATAAAAAGCTCTAACTCAGATGTAAAGTCCTAGAGGAGCCACAGTAAAAGCAGAATGAAAGACACAGTCCAGGTGAGCCGGCCTTCCTCAGCTGTCACCATGCGTCTCTGCTCACTTCAAGGACTCAGTAGGTATGACAAAGGCAGAGAGGTTTGAATGGCCAGGCTTTGGTTATGTTCCTTCCTGTCATTTGGCTTTGTAGTTCTCAAAACTGATGGCACCTAGAGATTTCTGTACTGGATCGAATGCCCAAAACCTACATATTGTGTGGGCCTCTTAAGGAATTTTCTCGGGTAAGCTTGACGATTTCCCATTATGTGACAACTCTGCTTATCAACGCCATTGAAGACATAATTGCCGTGCAGTGTATGGCACACCATTTCAGTGAGCATGCAGAGGGTCAGTTCAGGAATTGCTGCCCGTGTGCTGGGTACCGACAGGAAGGCTGTCATGTATGAGGCACTGTGTGCGGATAAAAGATCAGGACATGGCCTCAGCCTGGAGGAGCTCAGAACCAGAGGAGGAGGCGGCGTCAGCTATCACGGAACACTGCACTCAGCGCTGACGATCAGCCTTGGCAGTGCTGGGGGAGCTCCCAGGGCAAAATGATTACCTGTGCTCTGGAGATTTGGAAACACTTCACAAGTATGTCAATTCCCTTTAGAAAACTGAAGAAACTGAGGCAGTAAGAGGCTAAGTGACTCCCCAAATGCCACACCACACCATTAAGGGGAACCATGTGGGCCTTGAGGCCAACCAGGCTCCCTTAATTGGAGGGCTTTGTGTGGGTTTCATCCACGATTCTATTTTTCAGTCACCAAATGTGACAGTTTTTTTAATTCAAATGCCACCGAGTGGTTGTATTTCTTAAACATCTTCAAAAAGCATTCCTGGCACTTAAACCCATTTGTTGCCTGTCTAACCTTCTAGGAAATTATCAGTTCTCTAAATTAACAAAGATCTAGAAAGTGTGGGCTCCAAATTGAAACATCCTTAGGGGAAAAAATTATGTCAGATTGATACTTCAAAAATTAGCAGATATACATTGTATAACTATTTGACTCAGAAACACTGTAAAAAAAACAAAAAGGCCAAAATTGGTAAGTTACTCCTACTAGGTTTTTTTGGTAAGTTCCTTGTTTTAAAATCTGATTAGATTTCCATTTCCAGGAATGGCAAACTTTTACAGGCCCCCCTCGAAGCACTTTCCCCCTCGAGGCTTCTTCAGGTTGGAAGTGGCCCGGGGGTGAGGGGCTAGAAAGCCATGCCAAGGCCACCAGAGAAGCTGCGACCCTGGCCTGACCTTTGGCAGAGTCAAAGAGCTGGGGAGACAAGAGGTGGACGCGGAGTTGCCAAGACACCAGGACTAGAAAGGCCAAGATCACACTTAGGAAGGAAGCCCACTGAGGTGAGCCCACCTTCCCAGCACTTCCACTTGCACTGGTCTGCTAGGCTGCCATAAAGAAGACCGCAGACTGGGTGCTTACTGCAGACGTACTTCCTCACAGTACTGGAGGTTTGAGGTGCAAGGTCAAGGTGCTGACGGGTTTGGTTTCTGGTGAGGCGTCTGTCCTTCCCTGGCTGCAGAAGGCCACCTTCTCGCCGTGTCCGCACATGGCCTGTCCCGGCAAGTGCTGGGAGGGTGAACGAACTCTGGTGTCTCTTCCTCTCCTCAAAAGAATGCCAGTCCTGTAGGAGTAAGGTCCCCGCAACCTCATTTAACCTTAATGATCTGCTTCACGCCCTATCTCCAAGTACAGCCATGTCGGAGTGGGACCTTCAACATAGGAATTTTGGAGGGACACAGTTCAGTCTATAGTACCCCTCAAGGCATTTGCCAAATTCATCAGCACAGGCTGAACTGGTGCCAGTATCTATTAAATCTGAATGTACCCAGCAGTTCCATTCTCAGGTATATGTATGCCCAGCAGAAATGTGTATGTATATGTTCTCACTAGGCACATATACAAATGTTCCTAATAGCGTGATTTGTAGTAATCCCAACTTATAAATAACCCATGCCCATTAACAGTGGAGTAAGTGGTGGTATGGGCACACCGTGGAATACAGTACAGCAACGAAAAACCGCCATATCGGTATCAGATAACAATATCATAGGTAAGCTCACAACTATAATATTGGGTAAAAGAAGTGAAAAAGATACACACAGTATTAGTTCCATTTAAATTCAAATATAGGCAAAACTAATCAACGATTACAGAAGTCATGGTAACAGTTCCCTGAGCAGAATGGGTAGCTAATGGCTGTGGTGCAGGAAGGGGGCTCTAGGATGCAAGTAATATTTTTTTGACCTGAGTGTTAGTTACATAGGTGTGTTACATAGGTGTGTACACTCAGGATTTTTTACTTTTCTGAATGTTACACTTCAATAAAATGTTTTAAAAAGAACACATGTTCTAAATAAGTTTTTAGAAAAACAGAGGTTCTAAACCTGTGTTTCATTCTCTTAATAGCTTTGTCACTCAAATACAGCATATTTTCTTTTTCTTTTACTTTTTCCATCTTCAGAATAGGAATAATGGCAGTACAGGTACTCAGGGTCATTTTTAAGATTAAATGAGATAATACATCTAAAGGGCTCAGCACAGCACAGTGCCTGGCACATAACAGATGTCCGCAAACATTAGTTATCATTTTCACTGATACCATTACTCCTTTCTTAAGCACTGCCAAGACCGGCATGACCCTGCAGAGCTTCATCAGGAAAGGGTTAGGGAAGGCAAACACCATGTTTCTTCGAGAAGGGGGAGTTTAGAAGCCAGGACAAAGCACAGAAGCCGTATGGTTTTACAAAAGCGAGTTGTGAAAGCCACCCTGTTTCACGGTGATAGGAAGGAAGGAGGCGGTGGGATCAGACAACACTGCCCTGGAAGGACCATTTCCCACTGACATCAAAGTGGGGCCCATTGTTGGTGCTTGAGTCCCAGCATAGTTACATGAAGCACGCAGAACCAGTTTGCAAAACGCTTCCATGTGGTGAGAGTCAAGTAAAAGATTAAAAAAAGAAAAAGAAAAAGGCCTTGATTGGGTGCTACATAATGGGATAGTTTTCAGCTGCTACGGAGCACTGGGACCGACACCTTTACTTGCAGTAATGAGTCACATGAATGAGCACATTAGGGCCGGTGGTGAGGCCCATCCGCTTCGCAGCCACCTGAGTACTAGAGAAGCCAGTTTCCGAGAGACCTGTAAATAATTTCTTTGTGAAACGGATGGTCAGAAAAGTGACTGTAAAAGTAGCACCTCTTTACCATCCATATTTACTCCATATGTGTCTTGAAAACAGTTCATTTCGTTTGCTGACAAAAAGTTGGATTTTTACTACATCAGCCTCACAGGGCCAAGGTTGGTGGGAAATTAAAGTCAAGCTTTAAAGAGGCAGTTTTTAAATAGGAAAAAACAAGTGGTGGCAGTCCAGAGTATATACTGTTTGTTACCAAAGCCAAGCTCCGATTTGGATTTCAGACACAGGCTTCAGAAGCAATTCGAAGATTTGCTTCAGCAAATCAAATTTATGGTGATCAGGATGTCATGGCAGAACATTTTGGAACAATCTGAAACTCACATTTTCACTCACAAGTCTAAAATCTGAGACCATTGTCAGAGGCGTTAAAGTATTCTTCAAGTCCAGGTAGTGGTCTCGTTCCATGCGTAATAAAATTTAAGTCTGGTTAACTCCCAATCATCCACGTGAATGGAAGCAAGGAGCAGTATGAATAAATTAAAACATGATGGATCCAAATTCTTTTGTGTTGGATGCTGGGGTGACATTTACATTCACATTTTTAATATTACTTGAGTGGAAGTTTGATGAATTTGTCATACTTCGAAAGTGAGTCCTATATTAACATTGTATTTGAAGAAACTGGAATAATGATACCCTTTATGGCTCAGTAGTGATGACAGATCTCGGAGGGGAGGGGAGCCTGACGACTGGATGCTCCTAGGCTTTCCAACGAGGGTCCCTGGACCATCAGCATCATATGGAGCTTAGGAATTTGGGTGGAGCCCAGCAGTCCCTTTTAATAAACGCTCTGGTGGTTCCAACGCAACCTTCAAAGTTGAGATCCCCTGTTGTAAGCTACTGGAGAGCTCTGGGTCCCATCCTGCCTGAGAGCTGGGCTTTAGACTTGCGGTGGTGCCAAAGAACCTACCCGCAGGGAACCACCTCCCCACTTTCTTACCGGCCTGGCTTCCCCTTAAGTAGCAGGTTGTGTGGCCTGCCCCTCCCACAGGGCTCCGGCCCCACGTCGCCGGCCTCCCCACTCCTACCCCTGCTCGAACAGAGGAAATGGGCATTAAAGGCCAGGTCTACACAGGAAGAGCTCTCCTTGGATAACTTGGAAGCTGCTGCTCACCTGTGCTGACTTGCTTCTCACTCTCCAGCCTGAGGCTTAGCTTTCTCCTGCAGCTTCTTTGCACTCC